TTTGGTAACTTTTTTGATGCAGATCAGACTTTCCAAGGAGATCAGCCTGAACTGAGAGCGTTCTGGGGGTCGTGCTCTGATGTCCAGATAAAGGGAAAGTCTTTTGACTATGCGTTTGTGTAGCTTGAGGACAGGTCTTGTAGGAAAGCGTTTTATTCGCGTGTCAAAATGACATAGCTGTACATTACAGGAAGGTGCATCCTGTCACGCTGCCTAAGTAATATTGACACTGCTGGAGGATAAGATGCTCCAGTTGGAAGTTTGAAGTTAAATGGTACAAAATTGGGGATCTTGTTGTATATTGCCGCCTGTCTGTGAGAGAGGTATTATCACAAATGATTTGAAAAATAAGCAGTTTGAAAGAGTAATAGTTTGTTTTGGGTGGAACTGTCTTTTGTGAAGCCTTGAGGCTAAGAGATGAGAGGGAGATTTGGTACACACAGGAGCATCCTCTTCCTTATCTGTCTGAAAGAAATTCTGATGAAATGCAGATTTTCAGTGTGCTGACTGATGAGATGTTCTTTAGAGTTTATAGCCGGAAGGCCCCGTTTCTGAAGATCAAAACATATTACATCTTTGGATTCAGATATCAGTTAAGAATATTAACATATGCATATGTTCATGTAACTGTATGTAAAATTGTATTACAGGCTAGGAGAGGGGAGTATTTATCTTTGAGTCCTGGTGGATTGTGAAAAACAGTGCTTAAGTAGTTTACAATTTGTGTGTTTCCAGTAGAGGAATATCAGACGTGATTTCATTTAAAGGAGATTCAGTATACTAGTTTCATAAATAAGAACACACTATTTGATTTTTGTAGTACATTTTCTTGGAAGAAAATGGTACATTTTCCATTTCCATTTTCTTGGAAGAAAATGTAGAAGTAGCCTGCAGTTATTGAATATAGGCACATGAGCAAATCAGAATTTCTGCGAAATTTTGTATGTGAGTATCTGTGCCTTTTGGAACCTAGTGCTTGTTCTACAGGCATAGAAGTGTGAACTTTTAAAGTAATAATCTTTTAATACCTCATTCAAACTATGTACATGAATAGAAGTCCTATTCTTTTGAGTTTTGATAAATGAAGGCAATCTGATTTGTTCTGATTTTTGCAGAACTACAAATTGTGAATCAAAATTGATGAATTAATTGTTCTCATGCTACCCTAAAAATAAGAATGTCTTTAGTATTTGTGAAAAGTATAACCTTTTTCCAGCCTAACACAATTAAGTTGCATTAGCACTAGTTCCAATAATTCATTAGCATTTGCTCTGTGCTGTTAACAGTACTTGTCCTTTAGATTAATGTAGCATTTTTAATTATTTTGCTTTGAGAGAGCAGATAGCTTAGGTAACTAATGTAAACAAAGACTTGAAATAAAAAAGTATGTATATATAAAAATGTTAAAACCTGTGAGCTCTAAAAAATTTTTATTACTTTTAACTCTTCTTTTAAAAAACAATGTGTTTATGATGAACTTTCTGCATTTTTCATTAATTTCTCCTTTTGATGACCAGTTTAACAGAAGTCAGAATTAGCAATGACTTAATTTTTTTCTTAGGCCTGCTGCAGTGATGTTTGTTTTGTTTCTGCAATTCAGACAGCATTCTACTAGTATTTCCCTTTGGATACCCGTAGTGCTGTGCATGCCTGTGTGCCCTTTGTAGTTGCATGCATGCCAATTAAAAATGTGTATGTGATGTCTGCAGATCCTGCCTTTGGTGTTGTATCACCGTTGCCGCAGTGCATGTGAGTTTTCCTGGCTCATTCTCCGGCAGAGTTCAGCGCACAGATTTTGTCCCTGACTGTGGGTCTGTCAGAGCTGCATGGCTCCCATGTCTTCTCTACAACAGTTGTTCCCAACCTTGGTCTTGGAGGCAACTCTCGGAAATTAGAAAGTGGGTAGTTTGATGAGAACTGTTGCCTTGGGGCCAGCAGAGGTTGGGCACTACTGTTCCACCAGTGCCAATGGCCTGAGTAGCACAGAAAATGGGAAACAGGAAACATATGAGTGCCACTTGGATGGTGTTATTTAATGAGAATAAAATTCAGGGCAATTGATCCACAGTGATGCTTAATACTTTTTTGCTTCATATGAAAATACTAACAACATTAATATGCTGTCAGTTTGCTTGCTGTCGTAAATCTTGTAATGACATATTTTTTTATTTGTCAGAGGAGTAATAACAGTGTAGGAAAAAAAAGGATGAGAGAGATGGAGTCAGGGCATGGAATATTTTCAGACAAAATAGTTCCGTGTACATCATCCATCATAACGAGCCCTACGCTATGTATTTGTTTCATTGGCTTCTAAGGATGGTTATGATTATTTCAGCTTATCCTGCAACAGCTGTTGATGATCCTGGTGCACTCAACAAGTACAGTCATACATTTCTGTAGCTACTACTCAAACTGAACTCCTCAGAGTTGAAATAATATTTGATATGTAGTTAATTTGGCTGTTGGGCTGTGTTCTCCTCCTTGTTCCCTGCGCGGTGAAGCTGAGTTTGTGCTCTGCCTTGTAGCTGTGTAGGATTCAGCAGCAGCAAGGAAGGGAGGAGCTGTGGTACGTTGCAGGAACTCGGAAGTCTTCTCCAGCACCTGCTGCAGGCGTCAAGCTGCTTAATTCTTATGTGCCTCTCCAATAAAAAATTAGTTAAATGGCTTTCTCCAGCTTCATAAAACATTTAGTTTCTATGCATGTTTTCCAAAGCCACAGCAATATGATTATCTTTAACTTCCCGCAGAGGCTTGGGGCTTTAAGTTCCTTAGCAACATAAAAATTTTCCTCAGCAGCTAGTTGTTTTTCTTCTCCCAAAAAACTAAGTCTATTTGAAAAGTTTCTGGACATTTCAGAAATATAAACCCCACATATTTACTCCCATTTTCACTTTTCCCCATGTAATACTTTTATTTCTCAGCAAGGAAAATGTTTTAAATTTAACATTTATTTCCATTATCTGAAAAAGAAAGTGTTTTAGCAATAGTTAATTAAAAAGAAGTTCGTTTTTCATGACATAAAGTTTCAATAGAAATTAATGGCCGTTGATTTATTCTTGCTCAGTGTCAACAACAGACTGCTAAATGTTATTAAATTGTACAAATTAATTTTTCTGTGTTTCCACAGAACTGCTTTAAGCAACAGTTGTGTTCACTGATAAATTGCTCATACCCATCTTGACAAGTTCTGTCTCTTATTTAAAGATTAAGAATCTGTGTCTGTGGACACTTTGCTTCCTGACATGTCAGAGCATTATCTCTAGCAGTGCCAAGGTTTTACAGATTTTTTCAGTAATGGGATAGGGGTGCTGCATTTTGGGTTTTTTTAAAGAGGCAAGGTATGAATTTTTTTGTGTCCCATGTGCATATTTATCAATTAAAACAGCTATTTTTACTGCTGTTAAAGTAATTAGCAGTGGTAACCTTAAGGATTTTCATGTTGTCCAAGGAGCCTTATGGCTGATTTCTCTTATGTGGCTATACCAGCAAGCTAAACAGTAGTGCTCGAAAAATTGGATTATATGAATATTAAAAAAACTGTCATTCAAGTATCAGTCAAAACTGAAGTCACTATCTGTAATGACACATTCTTTTTTTTCATTACTTTATCTAATTCCTTCCTTCCTTCCTTCCTTCCTTCCTTCCTTCCCTCTCTTTTTCTCTCTTTTTCTCTTCCATTCTACAATTTCCCATATTGCATTGTCTCCAGAAATGAGCCATTCATAGCACCCCGAAAAGTCTGCCTCTCCTGGGTGGGAGCAGTGCTGCTGGTTGTCTGGTTTATTTCAGTCTTGTGTAGTTGTTGCTGGAGTGTACATGTTGCTGCTTCAGTTGTAGTGGTGGTTAAATGTGGATTGTCCTGCTGGAGACAGTTGGCCTTCTTTTCTGTGTTGCAGAGAAAAGGTAATTAAAATGCTCTATTTTATTTTCAGACAATGCTAATGAGGAAGAGTTGGAAAAGATCAAGTAAGGTAACTTTTAGCATGTGGTCTTCTGGTGCTTTTTTTTTTTTTTTTTTTTTTAGAACTATGATGTTTTACCAAGCATACCATCTAGGACTGGAAACTTGTGGCACAGGATTTATTCCTCTTCAAATTGTGTTTTAATGACATTGTTTTGTGTTCCATCAAATCAAAATCATGAAACAGTTGAGCTTTCAATGTAATCATTAAACTTCTCGACTTTGTTACAGCATTATAGCCTATCTTGAAGTCATTTAGTAACTTCATGTAAGTGGCAACATGTCCTGATTCTTTTTCTAAAAAGCTTGATTTTATCATGTATAAACAATTTCCTTGAAGCTTACTTGTTACCAAAGAGATCAAGCCAAAGGGTAACTTTCATTTTCCTATTACTACCTACTAGCTGGAGTTTTTGTGTGTGGAAGTTTTCAGAGTGATGCTTCTCAATGAGAAACTTCCCAAATTGCTGGACATGCACAGACGGCAATCACAGGAGGCTTCACAAGAGCAGAGAGCTGCAGGAACCGTTCTTAGTTTCCACTTCATACAGCTCTGTCAATGCCTCTTCAGGCAGATTCAGTATCTGGCTTTTCTCCTCTTAGGAGTTGTGTGAGTGATAAAAAAGGAGCAGCATATGCTCTTTTCCACTAGGGA